GTATGTATGGATTGTGATAAGAGTTGTATGAGCCCCTAATAAAATGATTAAAAACAACAACAACAAAAAAGAATAAAGCCTGGAAATTTACTTCTGAAGATGTGTCACTGAAAACCCAGTGGAGCAAGCACAATTCTACTCTGACACACATGGGGCTGCTGTGAGTCAGAATCAATTCCATGGCAACTGGTTGTATATAAATGCATATATATATGCATATATATATATATATAAAGGGTGAGTTGTGGAAAAATAAAGTGTAAAGATAATGGTATTTTTCCACCAACTATCTGAAGCCCCTTCATACTTAAGGCCTATTTACATGGAACCATTCTTATTTCAAAGTCAAATGTGGAACTTCTTCACAGGGTAGTCATTTTAAGAATAACGGCAAGCTCCAAGCTTGGCACGCAGGCCACAGAAAAACAGATGCTGTGGAATGTTAGATTTACAAGACAAAACTGGTGACAGCAATAGCCTGGTGATTCAAAGTGAAAGGGAAGGTTGGCACAAGGAGAATGCAGGATCGATGTGGAGGCTAGGAGCAGTAGGTGGGAACAGAGCCCTCTATGTACCCTCAAGCAGACAACCGCCTGTCCAAGATGATATGTCACAGCAGGAAGTGGCCTACGGTAAGTACCTTTTTGAAAACCAGCAGGTTTGGGGCAAGGGGTTGGGGGAGAACCTACAGTGCAAATAGGAACAGCCTTCCTCTTCTAAGATAATGGTAGGACAAACAGCAACATTTCTGTGGGACTTATGAGGGAGTGCAAAACGACACTGGGGACTGGCGCTTGAAAATTGCTTTAACATCAATGCTGGCAGTGGCCTTGGCGCTAGTGTGTGCTGCAATTAAAACTTGCACTCGGAAGCCCACACGCTGCAAATCTGGGCTGCCGATGCTGCCTGGATTTTTCATCTGTGCCCTGGATCCTTTGCCTTGAGAAAAGAGTGATCTGAGAGTGCAAAAGAGGTCCCTTCAGAAGAGGAGGAGGAAGACGGGTCAAGATTTATTTATCTATATTTACTTATATAGGAAATGCCCTTCCCCATTCTACCCTTGGGAGTAGGGTGGCAAACAGGCCAGAGACCTGTTTACAAAAAATAGTTGCTCAAAGACAGCCTAATAAGTCAGTAAGAACAATGGTATCTACAATGAAGACTGATCTAAGTTTTAACATCTGTTTTTTTAATTCCCAGATGTGACCCTGGACAAATCATTTCTCTTTCCTAAGCCTCAATTTCTTCATCTATAAAATGGGGCTTTGGCTAGGTTAAATGACTTTTAACCCCACTGCCAGCAAGCTGATTCCAATAGATAGCATCCTATATAACAATGATTCTCAACCTGTGGGTCCTGACCCCTTTGGGGGTCGAATGACCCTTTCACAGGGGTTGCCTGATTCATAACAGTAGCAAAATTACAGTTATGAAGTAGCAACAGAAATAATGTTATGGTTGAGGGAGGGGGTCACCACAACATGAAGAACTGTATGAAAGGGCTGCAGCATTAGGAAGGTTGAGAACCACTGCTATATAAGGTAAATCTATGCCTTGGATCCAACTGTAAATCTCTACAGGGGCAGACAGCCTCATCAAACTCCCTCAGATAGGCTCTTGGACCTGAACCACCAACCCTGTCGTTAGCAGTCCAACACCAAACCACAGGTCCCCACACAAGAAGTTAACATCTTCATTTCCCTTCCCTTCACTATCTGCAGCCTTCCTTCTAGGCCTCCTTGACTTCATCTTCTGACATCCTTCCCCCACTTGAACCCTGCAGTCTCACCACCTCTCACGATCACAACTTACAGGTATGACACAACTACACATTTCCTGACACCGACTTACTATGGATCTGGTAGGTCAAAAGAGGGAGGAAGCTAGAGATCACATCAAGAGAGCTTGCACAGCAAGGATGGCTTTAGAAAGCTGCTGACAGCAATGAGGAGCCTGCTTTACTGTACTCATGGGATAGGATCACAGGAAAGAAAAGGAAAGCTATCCCAGACCTCCTCCCAGTCCAAGAGGCCCCTATGCCAACATGTGATTTCTTAGACATAGAGTAATAGAGTAATGACTTTTCTGTTATTTATACAAGGGGACTACAAAAAGTGCATGGAAAAATGGAATTTAAAGGTAATGCAATTTTTCTACAAACTTTTTAAAGCCCCCTTATATAAGGATGGAGTCCTGGTAGTGTAAGTTAAGTGCTTAGCTAATAACCAAAAGACTAGCAGTTTGAACCTACCCAGCTATTCCACAGGAGCAAATATCTGCACCTATAAAGAAGACACCCTAGAAAGCCCTGTGGAGGAGGTCTACTCTGTCACATGGGGCTGCTACAAGCCCCCAAATCAACTTGATGGCACTCAAAAACAACAAGGAAAATGAGACAAAAGTAAACCCCAAACTTGTGCCTGTGCATCTTGGTCCAAGCTTCCCCAGGTACCCTCATCACTCACCAGTACCACAGCTGAGTCAGCTGCTATTTCCTCCCTTGGGTTACAGGGTCAGCACCGGCTGCCTCAAGGAACAGGACTTGCCTACAAGAGAAAGAAAAGCCAGTCAAGTGTCCTGCTTGGAACAGGCATGAACTTAGGTCTGTATAGGCATTCAGAGTTTCTGCCCTCATACAGCTTATATCCTAGTTAGAGATACACAGAATTGAATATACAATTTCTGGTAGTACTACCTGCTATAGAGAAAATAAAGCAAGGGAAGATAAGACTGGCAAGAGGCAGGAGTGGAGTTTATTTTAGTTAATATGAGCCTCTCTCCAAAGGGTGACATCTGAACAGAGACCTGAATGACGTAAGGAGTAAAGCACCTGTGGGAAATGTTCTTGCGGGGATAGGGGGTTATGGAAAAACACTGAAACAGTAACAGACAAGAAAGAGCGTGCTATGTTTGAGGAACAAGAAAACCAATGGAGCTAGAATGAAGTGAAAGATGGCAAAATTAATGGTCCTTGTTTTACATACTAGAAAACAAGCTCAGAAAGTTGGATGACTTCCTCAGATCAAAGTCAAGTCCATGGTGGAACTGAGAATAGAACTCAGGTTTCCTGGAGAGCTCTAACTCTGCCCCACTCCTCACTGGGGAGTCAGGTTCCTCCAGGCTTAGATAACCCAGTCGAGATAAACTTGCAACCATTCACTCCTCAAGATTGCTTTCAGGTTGTTCCACACATGCATTACTACACAGAATCTCCTATATGTACAGTCATTAGAACAGAAAGCACTCTGGGCTAAGAAGAACATTAGGGTATGTCATGCACTATGTAAATCTTTTATCTGTATTAACTCATTTATTCTTCACAATAGTCTTGTTTGGCTGGTGTGCTATTATATTTCCTTTTTTACCAATGAGAAAATTGGAGGCACAGAGAAGTTAGACAAATTTGTCCAAATCACATAGTCAATAAATGATGAAGCTAAGGTTTGAACCCACAAAGTCCAATTCAGGGCTTGCCCTCTTGACCACACGCTATGCCACTGCTCAAAAACAAAAACCGGGGGAGGGGGAAGCAGGTAGGAACCATATTCTCTTGTCCAAGCAGACAGGGCTCACACATTCACAGCCACATCTGGGATCCTCTCCACTAACAAACGACAAGTTGAATGACTCCCAAGTCCTTCAAAGTTTCCTATAGGGTCATCATAAGGCTGTGGTGATAACAAAGCCATTTAATAAAAGTCACTAACATTTATTGCAGTTTGAAATAAACTAAGCACTAGACTAAGCACCTTTACACACATGATCATACTGTAGAGAGAGAATGAGAGTTGCTCCAAGATATAAGTAGATATAAGTGGAGGGATCTGGAGGGACTCTGAGCCTGAAACGAAGGGAATGTCTAAGGTCCCAGGTCAAAGGTCTAAGGCAGTGGCATTGGGGGTGCACTGCTCTCTAGGTATGCATGAAGCAAGTGCCTGACCAGTACCTGTACTGTGGACTTCCCAGCTCCCATACTCTTGTTCATGTTCTTCACCTAGAATGCCTTTCTTCATTTGTACATATTCAAATTCTTCATAATCTTCAAAGTCTAGCTAATCTAGGACGTTATCCCAGACTTTCTCACCATCCTCTGGCCTCACCAACAGTGAAGGACCTAGAACAGTGGTTCTCAACCTTCCTGGTGCCACAACACTTTAATACAGTTCCTCATGCTGTGGTGACCCCTGATCATTGGAAATATGTGTTTTCCAATGGTCTTAGGTGATCTCTGTAAAATGGTAATTCAACCCCCAAAGGGGTCGCGACCCACAGAGGATCTTCTGAAGGATGAAATGAAGCTGACAAGACACCATTTTACTATCTGAATCTATGTTTGGTTTGCACAGCTTCCCCTCCACCCACCCCCATTAAAAGGCAGCCAGGCGCCAACCAATTCTAGAAAAGGCTCAAGAAAACATGCACATGAATTCCAATGTGCTCAAGTAGAGAGAAACTAAAAGCCACTAAAAGTCACATACTGCTCAGGGAAACAAAGGCAATAACGACCACTTTAGTGGCAACCCGCGGGCTCAGGCTTTGGAAATAGACACCGGGGCTGAATCTAAGCTCTTCCTCTTGCTAGCTTGCTATTTTGGACTTTGGGCAGGGTACTGTGTCCGTTGCCTCGACTGCCTGCATCTGTTCAAGATGGCATGGGAAAGGCCTTAGCTTCCAAAACTCAAACTCACTGCCATAGAGTCAATGATGACTCACAGCAACCCTATATGGCAAGGTACAACTGCTCCTGTGAGTTTTGGTCAAGACTGACTTTTTACAGGAATAGAAATTCCCTTCTCCCTTGGAGCTGCTGGTAGTTTCAAACTGCTGATCTTGGGGTTAGCAGCCCAATGCGTAAGCACTATGCCATCGGGGGCCCTTGCCCTTAGCTTAGGGTCCTGCTTGTGTTCAATGCTATTCCATTCAAATGAAGGGGCTTCAAGAGAGCATAAAAAACTGAATTGAAAGGTAAGTGCAATTTTTTCCATGAACATTTTTGAAGGCCCTTCACACCACAAAAAGGCTGAATCCAAAGCAACAAAACAGGCCTAGGGAAATATATGTACATACACTATTTAAAAAACAAAACAAACCGCTGCCTTCCAGCTGGTTCCAACTCATAGCAACCCAGCGGTCCTACAGGGTGGAGCAGAATCCGTTTCATAGGGTTTCTAGGGCTGTAAATTTTCTCCCACAGAGCAGCTGGTGAGTTCAAACCACCTCTTGGTTGGCTTTTGAGCATGTAATCAGTACATTACCAGGATTGCTATATTTACTCAAAACCAAACTCACTGTCATCAAACCAATTTTCATAGGACTGAGTAGAACTGCCCCTGTAGAAAGTCTCATCTTTGTCCTTTGGAGCAGCTAGTGGTTTTAACTGCTGGCCTGTGGTTAGCAGCCCAATGTGTAACCACGCCACCAGAGCTCCTCTACATGCAGCAAAGCAAACACCAATTAAACAGTTTCTACATGTCACATTTAGTGGTACTGATTACATTTAAGTTGTGGCCCATTCTCAACCCCCTTTTCTGAATGTCCTTCCCTAGAGTAAACTCATTGCTCCCAAAGGTTTTTATCCAATTTTTGAGACGTGGTTGTCCGTTTGATTCCATATGGATAGTTCTTAAAAGATCGTGATGCTCAAGGAGGACTTTTTGTACTGGTTAAACTGAAAACTAAAACAAGTTTTAAGAAGGCTTTAGGTGCTAAGAATGTCAGGTTTAAAAGTTAATTCTGGGAAATAGTTTCAGAGGTTCCACAAAGTCCAGAGTACATGTCAATTTTAAATTCTGTTCTATATTTTCTCCTTTTTGATCAGGATTCTTCTTTGGCATCTGATCAAATCCAGTAATGGTAGCCAGGCACCATCCAGTTCTGATTTCATAGAAAAGGAAGCAGGTGGTCATGAAGGCAATTACCCACATATTACATTTCCTCCTCTAGTTCTGACTCTTCCTGTTGCTCTAGGGCAGTAGTTCTTAACCTTCCTAATGCCTCGACCCTTTAATAGAGTTAGTTCCTCGTGTTGTGGTGTCCCCCAACCATAACATTATTTTCGTTGCTACTTCATAATTGTAATTTTGCTACTGTTATGCATCAGGCAACCCCTGTGAGTCATTCAACGCCCAGAGGGGTCACGACCCACAGGTTGAGAAGCACTGCTCCAGGGCCTAGAGTAGTGTTTCCCAAAGTGAGTGAAACTGACCGTTTGGGGTGTGTGTGTGTGTGTGTGTGTGTGTGTGTGTGTGTGTGTGTGTGTAAAAAACAATCTAGGGTAGTTGCAAAAGCTCGGTAGAGTAAAAGCTTGGCAGTGAAAAAACGGGAAAGCTCATTGACAAAACGACAGTGGCTGCAACAATGGGCTTGAACTAAGTACAATCTTAAGGAAGGCGTATGACCAAGCAGTGTTTCATTCTGTTGTACACAGGGTCGCTATGAAGTGAAACCAACCTGATGGCAACTAACAATAATATCCTGGATTGTGGGTTATAGTATGAACACTTTTAATTGCTAGAGGGTCACTGAGTAATTTTTCTTTCTGAAAAGGTGGTGGTAGGCCAAATAAATTAAGGAATCTATGGTCTATAGATAAATAAAGAGTTCTATTGCTGTGCCTTGGATGGCTGCTTGCAAACTTTTAAGGCACTAGGCAACAAACTAGACTCCAAAATATTCCCTGAAACATTAAACACTATAAGGCCAATTAACTAGGATGTCCCATGAAATCATGACCCTAAACTTACAAAATCAAGAATCAAGTCCCACGAGGTGTTCAGTTATATATAAGCAGTCTCCAAGGCTTTTTCCCCCCTTTGGGGGTGGGTGGGTGTCATCACTGTAAATACAAGGTATCTTCAAAATGTTTGTAGAAAAAATTCTCCATAAACTTTTTGAGGTCCCATGTATCTAGCCCATAACTTTTTGCCAGTTCAATATTTTTCATGTTTCTTACTTATCAATGTGATTTTATTCCATCACCGTTTAACCTCCATTTCGAAAACCACTAATAAAACTTTGTTTTCTTTATGTCTTTTCTCGTCTATTTATCTTAGTGAAGTCATATCTGTTCTTTGGGGATTGGCTTGTTTTCCTCCATCCATACTGTGTAGCGTGCATTATGATTTCCTTTCTCCTACTAGGTAAGTATTCCACTGTGTGTATGTACCATTATTTTGTTTACCTAATTATCTGTTGATGAAATTCTCAGGTTTTGACAGTTTGCTACTTCTGTGTCTCTCTGGCAACTCGTGTCTCAGATTAATGGGCCATGAAACAGGATGTACACCATTCCTAATAGCCTTTAAATCAGTAGAATTACCATCATACTGGAGGAAACTGAGCCTACGTAGTTGAATAACTTGCCTAAACACACATACATTAGGAAGTAGAACTTACTGGAACCCAGGTCTGACTCCAAAGACTTCTAACTATACATACCTTGCTTGTACTTTCTTGTGCCTAAATTTAAGTCCCCAGTGTCCAATATAAAAAAAAGCACCAATAGTAAAGTTTTAATAACTAAACCTAATTCTTCCACATGGTAGCT